GTTTTCTTTTAACTACTCAAATGTCCAATAGAACGTAATTCAAAACAGCTAAAGAACGCTAATCCGCGAATTCGCTACAATCAACAACAGTAGTTTTCTAAACAACAACAAACTAAGCAACTACTACGAACTGAGATGTTTTCCTCCTTTTATAACATTTTAAAATCACGCGCTAGAATTTTCCAGTACTTTCTCGAAATGAAAAAGAGTTATTTATTTATTTAATGCACGCGCTCTTGTATTTTCAATTTTCCGGCTTAGCTTTCTTTTAATATTCGTCACGCGCTGCACTGCGCGAGAAATAAAACCATTTAATTTATAATTGAACTAACATTTGCTTTTTAAATACCAAATTCGTAACAATATATTTCTTCAGTCTTTCATAACTATTCTAGTGCTCTTAATTTCGTTTTAGTTCAGCATATAATGTGAGAAGATCATTGTGTGACGACGTAGCACTCTTCATCACCATACTCAGGAAATTTCGAACATAAATTTGCACTAATAGATCATCTCTACCAAAACATTCTCGTAATTGCTCGACTGCCATTGGTTAATTTGAACAGTAGCTTGAAAACTTTCTACGACTCTTGCAGCTTTCGATTTCGGAACTATAGCCTATAATAAATACTGGAACTTGTGCTCCGCTAGAAAACTTGTATCAGTGTGTATTTTTTCGAATTGTCTCAAAAATGAGGGAAATTCTGCACTAAATCTCTTTAGCTTAATTTTTGGGAATTTAAACTGTCTGTCTTTTTTTTTTTTAATTTTGGAGATCAATTCGTAAGAGCTGTCTCTATATTATACAGATTTTGATATATCCTCTTCATAATTTTGCTCAGAATAATCCTCAAATTGGGAAACAACATTTTCTAATTCTTCTTGGCAGCTTGCTATAGTCTTTCGAATTTGTCCTTGAACTGCAATTTTAAACCCAAAAGTTTTTGATATCTGGGTTTTCTTTTAAAAGTGTAGTATTTATTTTATTCCAACACGAAGTAAAACTCGTTCATAGTCCCTTTCTTTTTGCTATTAATTTCGGAATATGTATATTGCGTAATCATCTGCTAACTATTGGCCCCACGCGTGGGCGCCATTAGCCTATATTCTATGCAGGATCAAACTGGTCTAAAGGGGCTTTCCCGCATCTAACCGATGTTTAACACCTGTCCGAAACGTTTAAATAAATCACTAAAAGATACATTAATGATTAAATATCATTTAATCAATAACAAGAGAAATTATACACTTAAAGGATTCGAATCAACATTTCCGTGTCGCACAACAGCGCACACAATCGAAGAAAAAAAACAAAAGTATGTCTTTAGTTCAATTCTTTCATGCAGCTAGAAAAGAATTCATTCGTGCTTCACTTCAAATCTAGTGGAAAAGTGAAGCTGGTTTTTAACACTTATCCTTTACTAAACGCATGACATTGTTGTATAACGCAGTAGAAATAACCTACAGAGCTTTTCCCTTTCGGTGACAGGCCTTTCAAAGATGACGAATATATATTTATATTTAGAATCTTTAAGGTCTTTATATCTCAATAAATTTAATATATCTGTATATAACACCTCTTCCGCCCTATGATCTGTGACTTATAAAGATGAGCGAATCAAGTGGAACACAACTGGTGACAGAAGCACTGTCATCAAAAGAAGATAGACCACTTTTATTCTTTTAAGCTAGTTTATTTCTTCTATTGTTCAATCAAAAAATGTTTGCTCTAAAAGGAACCAGAAAAGAAGATTAAAGAATTTAAGAATAACTTAAGAATTACAGTAGAATTAACGGTAACTTAACGGTAGCGGATCTACGAGAATTTGTTTTAAGAGGTTCAAATTATGAGATTATGAGAACAATCCCGATTGCATTAAAGAAATTTAAAGAGTACGATATGAAGAATGACTCAAACCCAAGGAACGAAAGCAAATGCATAAGATAAGCTTTTCAAATAGAAATATTAAAATTACTACAAAATAATCAATCAGAAGTGGCTCATATCTTAGGGGACCGAAGACCACGAGACTCGGGCTCCTGAGCCAAAGTTGTATCCCAGTGTAACTTAATAGAAAAGTCTATAACATTAATATAGCATTGCGTATAAAGTTCAATCCGCAGTAACGATAAGCAATAGTGAAGAACGACAAAGAATAATTAGAGAAAATGTTCAGCTATGTTATAAAGGTGTTCACAAAGCAGGCAAACGTTGTGGTTAGACTGCAGAAGGGAGGTACAGCGTTCTAGGCAATAAAACTCAGAATACGCTGTATTAAAAAAACTGCAGAGACGGAGCTCAGTGACATCACAATGTATTCTCGCATTTTATATTATGTTTATTTACTATTTTCTGCTGAAAATAACAATAATAAGTAATCTATTATTGTAAATTAACATTAAATTCTTCATTTTAGATTAACATTTTTAAAAGTTGAACTTTGGTTCCATTGAAAATAAGTACTATAAGCTGCTTATTTTAAATTAACATAACAGAATAATTCAGTTCTACCATTTATTAAAGCATACTTGTATTTCAGTCTTGTGTATTTGTCTAAAAGTCTCGCATGCTTTTATTTCAGACTCCTTCATTATTTTCGAAAATTTTTAAGCTTTAGAGTCAATACAAATAAGTAAAATGTTTTTAATTTAAATTTGCATCGTAGAATACTTGAATTCTACCTTTTTCACAAATAATTTCACTGCTACATCACAATGTCGCAATCCACTATATACTATTAAGGTAGGCTATATTCATTATTTTATAAAAAATTTAAGAATAAATGTATTAATAATAAAAAAGAGGAATAATTTTTTACGGTCAATGAGCATCATACACAACTTTCATTGCACCAATACTCAGATTTTAAACGACAATATTCTCTCTTTGCACCTATAATTTCATACATTAATAACAGTCAAATACCTAATTTCTCATAATAATAAAAATAACGCAAATTTGTTTAATACGGAATATTGCGAGTAGGAAATATAATATCAAGTGCAATTACAATAGCAAACACTGTGTATAAAAATGCTGCAAAAGTTAATTATCGAGTACAACTTTGCGAGTTTCGGGATTCGACGTTTGATCTCATGATCGTCAAACTATCCATGTTTACCTTAAATCGGAAAAGTTATCAATATACCAAACGAAAACAATGCAAAATACATAAAGGATGATTAAAAATACATTTTACAAGTAATACAGTTGTACAAATTAGAAATATAAAATGATGTATTAAACATTGCACATAATATACTATGCATTACTGTTGTTCTTCCCATGTACACAGCGATCTCAGAGAAGTACACAAACTCAGTATCGCGTACAACCTCAGCTTTACGGACTAGCCACGATTACGATCCCCCTAGAACAGTTGCAACCTCAACATACACATCCAGTGCAGTGAAAATGAAAGAGGGTTCCTGAGTTTTAACCTTTTAAAAATAGGTCGTTTAAAAAAAACGGATAGCAATCAGAAACACAGAACAAATGACCGACAGAGAACTATCACACAACTCCATTAGTTCGGATTGTAAGATTCCTGCCTTTAATTTTAAAGCTGAAAATGAGGAACCTTAAGAACTGTTAAGCAAATAATCGCTTAGTTCAGTGAACAGAGAGCAGAACTCAAGAAGGGTTAAATACCCTTTATTATTCAAAATAAAATTAACAGACGACTTCTTGGAAATAACAATAAAGCCTCCACTTGGGCTTAAACTCAGGAAAAATAAGCAATAAAACTTAACTAAACTAAAAAGATACAGCCGAAGCTATGAAGATTCTAACAGAGTTGACCCCTTAACGCTAACTAACGGCGAAGCTATCAAGGACCGAGCGTAATAATAGCTTAAGAGAGAAAGAGTAGCTTAAAAGGCGAACGCGCGCTGTTCAGAATATCTGGCTATCTAAACGAAGACAGTAGAACTTCAAAGTTAAATAATTCTTCTCCTCATCTGCATTTGACAGCGATTCTGAAAAACGTTCCGGCCGGAAGTTTTAGCTGAAATTAAGAACAGACAGGAAAGTAGCTTAAACTAAACATTAACTGCTAAAAACTTAGGATAAACCTTACAGGGTTATTAAAAAATGAACGAGAAAAAAATAATTAATAAAAGTTTCCAAAAAATGACCCAGTGACGAAAATAAAGCTACCAGAACAAAGTCATTACCTTGTAATCATGCTTTGTAAGTCATGCCTTGTAATTCAATGCTTATATTCGCTTGCCGTAACCCTACACATTCACTGAAAACCGTCTATAAATTTCTTTCGCACTACCAATTTCCCATTCTTTTCACAATCAAACATATATTTGACCTTGCAACTAACATTTTCTCCATACACCACTCAAGAACGGTTTTTTTTTTTAACTCTTTAGCTGCAAACGGAAAAAAAATTCAAATTCAAATATTCACCCATACTGCAGAAACACCCAAATCAGACGTCCTCATCAGAGATCAAAACGTTCTTTCAGCTAAAGAATTCTCTATAGTTTGAGAAGTTATGGTTATGAGTTTAATATCATTTATTCAATATTTTCAGTCATTTGGTAAATCTCAGTAATGCACTTTTGAGACCTAAATTGTAGTGATAAATGCTAACAATAACACACAACAGACAATAAAGTAGATTTGTAATTAAAAAAATAATGCTCAGTAATATAAACCAACGTTTCAACTCAGTTAAAATATTTACATTTTTCTTCCAAATGAAGCTGTAGCATAACTGTAACCAGTGTCTAGAAAAAAGGCGTAGTCAATATTAAAAAGGCACGCCAAAGCGTAAGAATAAATATGAATAAATAAAATTTGACAGTTACTGTTAACAGAAAAGTGCGATTATCTTGAGCAGCTTCAAATCTGTTAAAATTTACCTTTAAAAGGGACATATTGTTTTAAATTTGCATCATACTACTTTAAATGAATTAATTTCCGCTAAATTGGCAACACGAAATTTAAGCAATCAGGCTAAAATTCTGGGCAAAATAAACAAAAGTTGCGGTTTGAAGAAACTCACAAAATACAATCTGGATGTTTAAACTCTGAAGGTAAAATAAAAAAGAAGGTAATAAAACTCATATCATAATTTTAGTATTTTTATACAAGTAGTATTATAGTAATAGAATTGAATAAATAAAATTGATGACCACAAACACGGGTAAGTTTTATTCATGCTATACAATTTATGAACATTTGTAAAGTTTGTAATTTAATGTTTCTTTATCTTTATTTACATTAAAACTCCGCCATTTGGTGACACTTTCTAGTTTTATTACTACGTTTCATAAAATTTAAGTCTTGAAGTAAAAAAGCAAAGAAAGAAACAACTATAAATTAAGTAATAGAGTGTTATTATTAATCGTTTCCATAACGCTTAAGTTCGTTTCCAGGTGATATTTGAACTAGCCGTTTCAAATGAAAAAGGATGTGTTTTCAAGAAATCGAGATTGTAATTGCAGTGAGCTTTTTCTAAAATGATCACGCATGTTCCAGATAATACTGGTTTTTGGTGGAATCTGTCCAATTTGAAAAGTAAGATTTGAAATCGATATTCACTTATGTTTTCAAAAATTCTAATACGTTTGAGAGATGACTGCGAAGAAGGAGTTTCAGATGATTTTGTTCTTCTTGTCATCTTAGAATTGTAATATTCTATGTGACATTTATTTGTGTTCTCAAAGATACTAACCCCAGACTGCCGAGAAAGATTCGACGAGACTCTATCGGTATATAGATTAAACTCTGTCAAAAAATACTATTTGTTTGTGTCAACAGTCTATCTCCTAAGCTAAATAATTTGGTTATTGTTATAATATTCGGTACTTGCTTATTAATGCCACCATTTTAGTATTTTAGTAGTCGCTAAATCTTGAGAATATGCCAAACTATGTCAACCATGCGCCTAACCATTCTTCCGGTAACTATGCTTATAACCGTCCTTTAGTTAAGCAACGCCGCCGTTTTCGTATGTGTTCTGCGTTGTGTTCCAGTTTCCAACTGTTTTTGTAAAAAAATCATGATATTTTTTTCCTTAGTTTTAAAATATCGTTTGTGGAATTGGTGCTACTTTGGTAGACGGTTGCACGGATTTTGGCGAGTTTTTGGCAATTTTTCTTTTGGCGAGTAATACGACTTATGGTAAACCCATTGCTGGATAAGTTATTTATGGTAACCGATACTTTGTTGACATTTTATTAAAAATCATGCGTGTTATTATGCATAAATTCCGTGTTTTAAATATTATTTATGGCTTCTAAATATTAAAAATCAATTTAATTTTGCATTTTTATTTGAAATAAAAAATTTTATTCTTTATCATATTTTATGAAATTTTATGCTGTGGATGATGTAATAGTGACGTCAACTTACTTTAAAAGTATTGGTTTTAATATCTATAAATTTAATCTAATGCTTTTAAACATTATTTTATGGGTGTTAAAATATTAAAACAATTTAATTTTGCATTTTTTTTTTTAAAATGATTTTATTATGAATGATTATTTAAATATTTTAATTCTAGGCGTGATGTAATCACTCTCTGATTGGTTATAGAATATTTGTGCATTAATGAGCTGTAATCAGCTCCCTGATAGGTTGCTGAAAATTTGTGCATTAATGAGCTGTAATCAGCTCCCTGATAGGTTGCTAAAAATTTGTGCATTAACCGCGCCATTTTAAATTTAATTCATATCTTTCGAATTCCTTCAAAAATGTCTCCTTCAAAGATGAATGTTGTTTTTGATAAGTACCAAAGAATTTTTGGTTTCGGAATCAAAAATTGTCCTTTGAGACCTTATTTTTCGCCAGCCTGGCTTTCCTAATCAAAGATTTATTTATAAATTCTTCTTACAAGGGTCAGAGGAAATTATTTTAATTTTTGAAGGAAACGTCGCTAATTGTTTCTTCCATGAAGTGCGAAAATGTAGATCACAGATGAAGACCGTTAGAAGAGCCGATTCTGAGACGGCCGTATATGATTTGTGGTCATGTTGGGAAGAAATAACCGCTGTAACAGTAAGAAAATTATTAGACATTCCTCCTTTTTACCGACAATAAACTAAGTGCTGTCATTTTAGCTCTAGCGTACGAACGTTCTTATTTACTATTTTAAGTATTTAATTTAACTAATATTTTAATTCTTTTAACGTTGGTATGATGGTTTTTAAGTTCGATATTCATTTACGTAATATTTTAATCCAATTAAACGTTGGCGCAATGTTTTTTATAGTGGTATTTTTATTCTATATCTATGCTATATGAAAGTAATAATTTAACCTTTCTTTAGTATTTTATACTCGTAGTAAATGTATTTATTCTATCTAATATATATATATATGTCATATTAAAAGCACAAGGAAAAGCCGGAGCAGTGTCGATCTGTGCTTAGATCCATATTGAAGAAGAATTTTGATTGCGTAGTATTTAAAGAATTTGGCAGTCGAGGCAGTTTTAATTCCATTTTTATTTCCAATCGATATTGTGGCCACAATCACTTGCACTCTAGTCGTGCCTTTCCACAGATTTACATTTTTTGATATGTTGGGATATAAGCAAGCCAGCGAAATTACATATTAGCAGAGTAGAGAGCAAAAGCTGAAAGTGCGTAGTTATGAAAGAAGGAACACGCGAAGAGAAAAGTTTTGGTTTACAATTCGGTGATTAATCGTAAAGAGCATCTGTATTAACGGTTACGTAAGATCGCGCATGATTAATTTGAATGACGCAATGCAGATAAGTTTATTACGATTTTAGAATAGAGAGGAAGAATTTATGTGTTATAGTTATTATAAATTCTGATTCATACATTGTTATCTTACATATATATATATATTTATCTATATAACGTATTTTAAAGTATTTTAAATAGTAATATTTCTAATTCTTTTAAATGTTGGATGATGTTTTTTTATTTCGATTTCATTACATAATTTTTAATCTAATTAAACGTTGGCACAATGTTTTTATAGCGGTGTTTTCTATTCTCTTCTTGCTATATGAAAGTAGAATAATAACCTTACTTTAGTATTTTTTAATACTCATAGTAATGTATTTATTTACACTTGCCTGCCATCTTAAAAAAACGACATTTTCAACAAAAAAATTAATCCATTATTTCTAACGATATTTATTATTTTTTTAAAGTTTTGAATACTTTACTATGCGTAGAAACAGCGTTTTCAAGATGGCTGACGTTTGTAGAAATCGCGCCAACAATTGCGCCAACGTAAATCGCCAAAAATCCGTGCAACCGTCTACCAAAGTAGCACCGTGGAATTTCCCAGCAATGGAAGAAACTTCATTAAAATTTCTGCAAGAACGCAGAAATTTTGCTGAAATTTTTCTAAAGGGAACAACGAGGAAATGCATTTCCTAGATAGCTGTTGTTGCCGTAGATTGTACGAAGCAGAGTTTTCGCAATCCTCTGAATTTTTTAAACAAAACCAGATCGCAGTGTACTTCGGGAGAAAACGCAAAAATGTTGCAGGAAGATATGAAGAAGAATGTAAGTATTTTATTTTTGTAATGTATACGCAATCCTTGCTTAATAATTAAACTTGTATTTTAAATTTCTAAAATATATTTTCTTTTCATATGTGGATAATGTTTACCGACTTACGATAAGTAACGATAGGCTAGAAATCTTTCTAAAAAAGAGCGAAAACCACCAACTTGCATCCGACAAGTGACTATTACGTAAAAAATCGCCATATTATGCCAACGTTGGTTAATACGTAAGTACTTAATATTCAATGTCGTCTGTGATAGTACTGCATTTTCTTCTCAGCTTTTGTTTACATGTAGGTAGAATGAAATTTAAAAAAAAAAAAAAAAAAAAAAAGATGACTTATTCATTAATAGCAAACCTGAGAAAAACTCAAATACTAAAATCCGTTCTAATGTTTCTATTAATCTGGGGGAGGCGATAACCCAAATATCGTTTCGGAGTTTTATAATTGCGGTCGACTCTTGAAAGAATTTTTTTCTGAGTGGTGGTGATGACGTGAATTGTTTGAGAGGATAAACAAAGACTTGAACACAAGTATTAAATAGTGTTTAAATATCACAACGTACTTATGGATAATAATATTCTAAAATGTTTGAATATTATACAACAATTTAATAAATACCTTTCAAATTCTCAGATGTATGTAATTCGAATACTTAGCTCTATAAAAAATGCGTTTGAATGTAAAGATTGGTGAAATTAATTTTAATAACGAATGTCGAAATGCAACGCATGTCAAGATGTAAAAATTACACGGTTAAATAAAATCAGCAAAATGAGAAGAAAATAAGTACATTTTTTACTTATATTTTTCATGTGTTTATAAACACTGAGCATATCTTAACATCATGTTGCAATAATTACAAGAGAAACAAACTGGCCCAGTATTTTGGAGCCATTTTCAAAGAATGCTGCTAGTACTACAAAATAAAAAGACATAATATGTATTTTCAGTAATTTAAGCATGTAAAATAACAAAAATGTGATTTATTTATGAAAATTTACATTTTCTTTAAATATCTTAGATGATGACTCAGAGGAACGGGATAAATATTCCAAAATATTTTATGGACATTTTCACTCCTTATGTCATGAATCTGCTGGAAGCACGACTGACGGATACGTATGAGATTTACGAATTCTCCGCTCAATACTTTGAAAGAAAGATTAAGGAAAGACAAAGCAAAGTATGGGTCTTTCATGCCCTTTTAACACAAAATATTATTTTTTAAGTTCAAGCTATGCGATTTAAAATTTTATTTTATACTAATAACTGCTTTTTCAATACACGTTTAATAAAAATTAAATGATATTGGTAGAGCTTTATTTTCAGTATAGAAAAACGATTAAAAACTATTTACTCAAAAACCTATTCACCATAAATTACCGAGATTTCTAATTAATTATTCACAAAATATTGAATTTAAAATCAAATTTATAGAAATTTTAAAAATGATGGGAAAAGGATCTCCCCTGTTTTGAAAAATTTTTTTTTTTTTTTTTTTTTTTTATATGACGTCGCTTTTGAGAGAAATGGAAACCAAGAATTTACCAAACTGTTTGTCAAGACTTGTTAAATTCGGCATTTTTCTAAAAGTGCACTTACAAGTTCATGTTAGGTCTGGTGCGGCATCTGACGTGTTAAAATTTGGTAGCCTAAAGCATCCCACGCATGCTCAATCGTATTTAAAATCTATATAGCAAATTTAAGTCTATATAGCAATTTGGCCACTCTGTTACACTAATATCTTTTGTTTCCAAGTATCTTGATGTATATGAAAATTTTCATCCATTAACAAAATTTCTGGATCGAAAGCTCAGCTAAACAGCCTTACACGCAATGAAAAGATCTCATCTACCTGTTTCAGACCTCCATCAAAAGATATGCAGCTCATTGCTGTGGTTTTTGTTGACTCAAGTCCAAGTCATGGAACCGCTTCAGTGAAAGTCTGGTACTTCATGAACAAAGGAAGGCCAACGATGTGCTATCTAGATTAAAACACTTCTAGAATTATAATTCAGCACTATCTCTTTTAGACTAGTCAATAACCTATACACTATCGCACTCTTCTTTGCTTCACTGAACCTGATTACATCACCTTAAGCGCGTCTCTTTGAAAGATAAAATGAATACGTTACAAATCATTGATTTTCTCGTATTAATTCGAAGTTTATGAAGTCGAAAGACTGATTCAATTTCCGGTACCAATCCGAAAGTCTAAATCAAACTCTCTTGTATTCGCTTTACAGTTTCTTCGAGGCGCCAATGATAGAAACAATATTCGGATGTAGTTCTGGCTAGGACAGACTGTCGACTAACTGATTCATTGCTTAAAAAGTGGTTCCGGTTTCTTGCTGTGACATTTTCAAGAATATTCAGATCTTAGGTGACCTCGATTTGTATTTGCTCCCTCTTCAAGTCTATCAATTAACCACCACTCTTGCCCTTCGCTTAAATGATGCTTTTGAGTTGCAAGTAATGAATACTCATCGCTCTCAGAAACCATGTTAACCTTAAACGAAACTGCGCACCCGAATTCCTGTATGCACGCATCATACAACATACTGTCAGTCTTTTAATTTCCATATTTAATATACTAACCTATGCGCAGAGAGCCGATTTCACATCCAGTTACAGATAATTAATATAAAGAATTACACTCTAAGAGCACTGGTTAAAAACTTTAAATGATGAGTATTCTTTTCATATTATCCTTTATTACTACGATCAGTGCATTACATAAATGAAATTCACGGTAAACTTTTCGTTTTCTCACAGCGTGCAATGCGCGATTGCATATGACTGAAATATTAACATAAAACTAAACGCAGATACAGATAACTAGCCTTTATATTCATACATCATTTGTGAAAGCGCATAACATTTGCTCATAATCAGAAATTAAAAGTGGTCAGAATGATCTTACGAATTTTTCGTATTTTATATTCTTATTTGTGTTATGCATTTAACTGATTCTTGCAGCATTACTATTCACAATTTCATGAGTTATTTTACTTTTTTAGGAACATTTCACTCACACGATAATGAAATCGAATAATATATACCACTATGATGTTTAAAACACAGTACTAAGTGTATATATCTCAGTACTCGATTCTAATCTACGAACATAATACACAAAAACACATCATCTATACGTTGTTACCGCAGCCAAAGAGAGTAAGCGCGTAGTTGTGAAACTTTATTCAAAGCGTGCAGAATTCAAACTGACAGAAGTCTTGGTAGACTATTAGAGCTATCCTGAGGAATATAATTGAGTATGTCAGGATTATTAAGATGATTGAATACTGGATGCTTCCAAAGCCGTAGTACAGCTTTCCTAATCATGTGGCGTATATATTATGCTATTGCAAAAACCCTCAGAGTTTTTGCAATAATGTGATGGAAAGTAATTTGATTTGGTATAATGTCAGGGTGATAAAAGGAAAATATCCTGTGCCATTGAAAGAATAAAAAGCTTTAACTTTCTTTCTCAAAAATCTAACAGAAATAAGACTTCTGATTACTGGAATAAAGTAATATTTGCTGTCGAAAGCGAAGGAGGCATAGAGAAGGAAGAATTTCGAACCCTGACCTTAAATTTCAAAAGCAGAATATGGCAGAGGCGTGTTACGATATGGAGGCGGGGAGTGTATATCGCTTATTGAAACATAATCTTTGCTTTATTAGCAGCATAAAAGATCGATAAAAATTGTTGTGTATGCCATACATCACTCTAAAGTGGAATTTGAAACCATCAGTATAAAAGTTAAATCGGCAAAATTATTTCAAATTCTACCAAGATAATGACTCTAAGACTTATTGCTACACATATGAGACTCTGAGTAATTTTTTATTACTTTGGAATACTTAAAAATCTTTTAATTTTAAAATTCAATATTTTATTTTCTGAAAATATGCTTAGAGTGAAGTGATAGTATATCTGAAGTTTATATTTGAAATAAATTTATATTTTATAATTAATTACTGTTTTTAAAAATTTTGACATTTTTTCTGAAACTAAAAGTGTGCGATCATTTTTGATATATATTGTACATTAAATTTTACTTACTATTAAAAGTAAGTCTACTTTTATTTTCTATGTAAATTTGAAGAGCCCCAGATCGAGACCTGTGGCTGAAGAGGTAAAATGTGTTTCTCGGGATGCCAGAAGAGAATTTAAAAAAGAATCCAGGAAGAAAATCTCGGAAAGCGATATCTCTTCAAACAAAGGACCATTAGATATTTTACCGGATCTCGAGTATGATAGTGCCATTGAATTTCATCCTATGAGCTATCAAGGCCAATGTTCCAATAATTTTCAGAAATTTCAGTTTGATAAAGAATTATCTTCAGATGATAAACATTTCATTTCAAAATCGTCTGCACCTCAAGGATTATCAACTCCAACATCGATTTCAAAAGTTCTACAACATCTGCGTCACATTCCGGAATACATTGCAGCTCTCGTTCAGTTGATAGAAGAATTACCAGAAGATACTTTTACCCAAGACGCAATAAATAATTTCATGCATTGCGGATGTTTTATTTAAAAGCTAGGAAAGTGTTCTCAACGTTCTCGCTCTACTGCGACACAAACTGAAATTCAAGGGCAGATTGAATATCCGAAAAAGGAAGCATTTCAGAACACAAGTAAAGATGAAAAAATCACGTTTGGCTACATTCGGGACATCATGAGAAAAGCAAAATATTTTGTCCATTCTATAGAAAACCAAGCACACTTCCGAGTATCAAATAACAAAAACCTAAAACATGCAAGTTCCCACAGAGGAAAAGTAAAAAATATCGCGTGCAATATAGAAAAATGTTCAAAATCAGTAGCAGATGCCAAGGATGTGATAGACAGTTTATCACCTGCGATCCAAAATGTCATAAAATCTGAAAGGATAAGTGAAAAATTAATTGATTGGGGTAAAAATGGGTTTATAGAAAATAAAACAAATCAGAAACGAAACGATACTTACCAGTGCCGATCAATTGAACACAGCAAGAAGAAAAGCCACCACCCTACATGTTCCAGAAACATTCAGGGCGTATTAAGTCTATATTCCGATTCGCAAAGAGTAAGTACTGGAGTTAGTTTCCAACCAAAATTCAATATACAGTTACATGACGATGAATTATCTCGGTGCTTTTGTCATCCACATAATGTCTTTAAACAAAGCACCGGGGCTCAGTGCTTTTGTCATCCACATGAAAATCGTGCTTCTATAACGTCTAGTGTATGTAAAACAAACTTGAGCGATTCCATAGAAAACTTGCACTCAAGTGATGTAGGCTTAAATACTTGCATACGATCAGGATCACTTGGGCATCTTGAACGTGAAACTTATCAGTTACCACCCTTCGACAATAGATTTTCCGATGAAGAAACAAATGAAATACCAAAGTACAAAGTTAAAATGTTAAGAAACATCGCACCGGAAAACGAAACAAACAGCAGATATAAAAGAAATGGCACTAGATATATCCAAAGTAATAGTATAGATTACCATAATATCACAGGTATTAACCACTGTTATCTGTTATGTGATATCGAAGGGAGACACTGGCTACGGACTTTTCTGTCATATAGAAAATTGAGACAGATTGATGACGTTGATATAAAGGCATCAACAAAGGATCTTGGAACACCTGTAATGATACTTCGATTCTTCAGTGTCAGAATTACGTCATCACTAAATCGGTGTAATTTCAACTTTGTCAGAGCATGGTACTTTTCCAGATCACTGAGAAGTCTACATAAACATCATTCTAAATAAAAGAATAGGAAATCTTCATGTTTTCCTTTTCACTTGTATGAGATCTACTTATAATAAATAGAAAAAAAGGGAGGGAATCAATGAAAACATTTTTATAAATTTATGAGAGTTACATATTATATTACTTTATTTCTCTTAATTTTTTTAATTAAAAGTGTCTATTACTTTATCTCACAATTACACATTATAAACATTAGATTCGTTTTTTGAAAATAGATAGAAATGTATAATGATTGTAAAATAAATAAAATTGGAATTTTCATAACACTGTGATTCCATTGTTATTTCAAAAAACCTAACGCAAAAGCCGAAAAATTAATCTCTTACGTAGTAGATTCCTTATTTGGAATTTAAAAGATATGATTTTCAGAAAGCAATGAGAATGAGAGAGAAATAAATATTTTTTTCTAAAATGATACATATACATGAGAGAAAAAAGAAAGAAGGGAAATAATTTTATGTTACAGAAGTCTTTTAAATTTCTCAACAATTTTTGCCTAATAGGTAAAGTTTATAGCTACGGAATTTCAGTTTCTAATTATTTGCATAAAAGTTACATTATAGATTACCATAAATTTTCTAATACTAGTATGTCCTTTGTGATCGCAGAAAATAGATGAACAGCGACAGTTTCATTTGTAGACATATTTCTACGTTCGTTGGACTACAGTGTTTAGCCATTTTACCAGCGGAAGAGGATTTGAAAGGAAAAATAAGATTCAAGATTTTTTTCTTCCAATGAAAATTATAACATTGCAGCAATGGTTTATTGCTTAACGGCTTTAAATGGAAAAAGGACTTTCCTCCGAGTCGCCTCCTACTGAACGACTGGAAGAAAAGTTTCAAAGCGTGAGATATTTATTAATTAGAATTTTTTATTTATTTCATTAGGATTTTTTGTAGCAGGAGACGTAAAAGTGCCCTTCCCTGTACTCGAATCTGGACCTCTCGAATGCGCACCGAGTGTGCTACCGTTACACCACGAAGGCGTAGTAGGCGAAAGGAAAAAATTATTTAAATTCTCGAACAAACTTTTACTGAGAATTATTCACTGGAAATGTCTTTGTTCTCAATTTATGAATAATGTCTAATAAATATTTGTTAATAATATATGGAAAAGCATTTTTTAATTTATAAAGAATATTAATCAAAAGTTTAAAGATATTTTTCTTTCATAATAGTAAATTTTTACCTTCGTCATTTTATCGTCTGCTGTTTCACATAACTTCATTTTATATGTAACGAAATTTAATTTGCTTAATTTCCAAATTTTGCATCATACGCTCATTCAGTAGTTCTGAGAACGTCAAACAATATGTCAAAAACATAAATAAAACATGTTGTCTTCTACTACTACTACAGAAACTGTCTTCTGCTACAGAAATGTTTCACCGCTGTACAATTTACTAGAATATACAATGGCTCCCAAAAGTGTTCGTACACTTATGATTTTCATTGAAATAGGGCTCTATCCATTAATTAAAGTAACTTTCTGAATAGATTTTAATATAAGATCTATAATCATCGTAACAAAATACATGAAATATTTCTAAAATATAGCGAAACTAATTTTAAGAATTAATAATAAAAATCTGATGTGTACGCACATGACTTCCTTGTACGGAATATTAATTATACACATTTTTATTGCATTTCGTTTAAACTTTGATTGAATTAAACTACTTCGCCGAAAGCGCATAACCAAAATAGAATAAATGAATTCTTTAAAATTCACTCTATTTGTTTTCCATAGCGACACTCTGGCGCTAGGTTCACTTAACAGTATTATATTTCGTTCATATTATAACTGAAAGCACAAAATTTATATCATTTAAAGAATTATCTAATCGTTGCCACATGTTCTATTCAAATACTATAATAAGCTAGAAGATGTATAAAAGAAATTAAGCAAACAAAACAAAAGAAACATTTTCACAGACGATTGAGTATTTCTCATTCAAATTCAGTTCTCATTCGCGACAAGCAAAATACATAAAACTCAAATATCTGTATTAAAAATTACGAAGTAAATCTTATCCTCGAAAAAATTCCAGAAAGGCTTAAGCATGATTTAATTCGCAATAATAAATGAAGGCTTTATTTTTGTTGTTGCGAAGCTACGTTTCTCTAGATCGGCAACAAATGTAAACAAGCAATGGCCGCCATCAAAGAAATTATTAGGCTTATTAGCGGCACTTAAACAACCTTAAAATTGTTTATAATTCTAAACATATTGCATACAGATTTACTAAATGCATAAAAACCTTAACCGGAAGATAAGAACAACATAATTCAATCATTTTTAAAGCAAAAAGGGTACAATTTACAAATAAAGAAACTGAGATCACTGAGCCGGGTAACAAAGTGGATATATTATGAATATATTTTATACTTTGGCGGCGATTGCTACGAAAATAGCGAGGTATACATCTACATGTTATACTGTCCTGTATACAAATTTACGTCTGAGGCTACTCGTTTTTGCGTTGCGAGATACGTACGTACGTACGTACACGTTCGTACACACGCCATGAAAATTCTCTCGGATTCATTTTAAAACAATTTTATAGATTTTTTTTTTTTGGAGAAAGAGTCTTTTATTTCTGTCCTTACGTAGATATAACGCAAAAACATCGTTAAATTGCATTCGAAAGCGGTCAAACTGAGTATTTTCTTTGAAATATGCTGCCTGAAACTTTTCGCGACTACAATACTTCCTTTTTACTTCGTACAAGGAAGCAAAAATGACTAACATTTTATCTCACATAAGTCTTCGTACACTGAAATTCTTTTGGATAAAATCAAAATTAGAATTATCGTTTGCCGCTTTTTTTAAATTTTTGAACTGCGAATCGCATTTAAAAAATCGTTTGCTTTAATTTTTTACTGTTTACTTCATAATATTCTATTTAATTTTGAAACATGGGTCACAGTCGTAAAGAAAGCACAAAACAGCATTCGAAAATTGAATAATTTTTCACCATAGTATGGTATCAATCAAAATATCGCTAAATTAGTTAATTTACCCATTCTACAGTGCAGATGTGATAAATGCTTTAAAAAAGAAAATCGGTTTGAAAACAAAAAAGGTCGACCGAGAAATTACTAAACGTGAAGAGATTTATTATTAGAAAAATTGTGAAAAACCCGTTTGAGTGCTGTTAAAAGTTTCTGCAGAATTTAATGCAAAGTTTCTACTTCAATTTCTCCTGAAACTGTTCGACGAGTTCTCAGAAAGCTGGATTACATGGGCTCTGCCGATAAAAAATTTTTGTTAGTGAGAAAAACAAAGTTAGGCTTCATTCGCAAAATTAATGATAAGTCCCCGAAAACTACTGGAATAATGTCCTATTTGTGACGAAGCAAATTTAACATTTTTTGGTTCAATGGTCGAAAACTGTATGGAGAAGAAAAAGGGAATTTCATTCTAAAACTTAGTTTGGAAAGTTAAGGCATGGCGGAGGTGTTCTTTGTGGGGGTGCATGGCAGCTCAGGACTAGGCATTTGGTTTTATTGATGGCATAATGAATCATTCTCTTTATTTAAATATTTTAAGAGACAATTAAAATTATTAGCCCAATTGGGCATTGGAACCTTTATTTTTAATCATGATAACGATCCTAAGCATACGGCACTCAATGTACGCCTGTGGTGTCTCTATAATTGTCCACAGGTTTTGAAAATACCACCTCAGTCGCCAGATTTAAACCCCATAAAACACATTTGGAAAGAACTTGAGGTTAGAGTACGAAACCACGACATCAAAACGAAGAGCGAACTCAAATCAGTCATGATGGAAGAATGGATGAACATTGATACAGAAATTACGAAAAAACTAACAAAATCTATTCCCAGACGTTTAAAAGCTGTTGTGGATGCTAAATGATATCCTACTAAATATTAATTTAACGAAAAATGAAAATATTTACAAATATGTCAAGATTTTTTTGAAGTGTATGAAGACTTTTGTGAGATAAAAGTTTCATTTTTTTATTATTAATTTCTTAAAAATATGTTTCGCTATATTTAAAAAAATTTATGTAATTTTGTTCGAAAGGATTTATAATTTATTATTAAAATCTCATTCAGAAAGTTTGCTTTTAATTAATGGATAGAGCACTATTTCAATGAAAATCACAAGTGTACGAACACTTTGGGGAGCCACTGTATGTTTTTATTTTCTTTTCTGGGTGTAACAAAGGTAACAAATAAAAATGATTTTAAAGATTTTTTGTGTCCAAAAATACTTCGTGGCCTTTACTGCATAGTAAATTTCTTTAAAAAAACTGCTGTTTTTGTTTATAGGAACTCCTAATTATCATCAAAGACCCTTTTTTTTTTCAAAGAAAAATATATTTTTATGTAAACATAGGATTGAGATTAAAACATATATTTAAAAGTCAAATTGTGATTTTTCAATAACTGAATACTAATCATTAGTAATACGATAAATGATTATTGTTACATTTATTTTCACATCATTAGTATTTCTGTAGCATTTTCTGCTATATTAGAATTAAGGAAAATTCTTCTTGTAAAACAATTTCAAAAATTTAAAAGGTTCTCCTTCTCTGTGGACATATCGCTAGTTTTATAGAAATCAAAATTTTAAAACACCTGATGAATTTCTAATCTATCCGGTCAACTCTGCCAAAATATACAAATGTGTGATATTAGCAATTCAACCATTGGCATTGTGTCTATCATATTTCTCAAAATTGGATAAGTACGCTAGGCTTCGATGAGTTTTTGGTTTTCTGAATTTATAAATGTGCGTTATGAAATTGCGCATAAATTGGTTTGATTGGTGAACTAAATATAGCAAAATACATGGAGATTATCTTCCTAAGGTATCAGTGTCTTCGTGGAATACTTTTCTAAATAAAAGTTCACGTTTGACATGGGAAAAATCACGAAAACCATGCAGCCTTCTCGTTCGCTTGGGTTGGGTTCGCTTGTGTTCCGGGACAAATTATCAGCAGTCTTGAAACGCTTGGTCGCTAGACGGACTGCTTAAATTAAAAGCTAAGTTATTAAATTTGTAAAGTGTCTTAAATTAATTAGCCAGTTATAATTTAAGCCTTCACTATAATTTCTCCTTTCCGCATTCATCACCAGAATACAAATTAGCTTTGTGTGAATTTAAGCTGAGGATTTTGAATCTTTAGATAAGCGAGTTTCTGGCAATTGTAGCTTGCTGTTAATAATTTTAGACAGCTGTGTTTAAAAATTATATTCTGGCTTTAGTATTCTCGCTAGACAATGCTTTAAATACGCGCTGGTAAAATAGTATATGAGCCAGTTTATTCTTTTTAATATGCAATCTTAGTC